CTAACACTAGTTATGGAGTAGCCTTTTTCGTTTTGGATTACCTTTGAAAACGTGATGAATTTTTCTAATGCTTCATCTTTAGTACTTAAAAATAGAACCCAAGTATATCTAGAATAGTCATCTACCAATACAAAGAAATATTGTTTTCCAACCAAGCTAATAGTCCTAATTGACCCAAAAAGATCAATATGGATCAATTGTAATACTCTACTAGTTGATACATCATTAATGGACTTAAAGGAAGCTCTTTGATGTTTTCCTTTAGCACAAACATCTCAGATTTTATCTTTATCTAATTTTAGCTTTGGCAACCCTCTTACTAAATCTCCTTGAATTAGTCGTTGTAAAACACTCATGCTAGTATGTCCTAGTCTCCTATGCCATAACCAACTATCATGCTCATCCTTAGCAACTAGACACAAGTTAGTCATATTTATTGTATCTAAATGCACCATATATATGTTTCATATTCTATGACCAACAAGCATAATCCGAATAGATACAATGTCGATTACTTTACAACCATTAGATTCAAATAAGACATTGTATCCTTTATCACAAAATTGGCTAATACTCAATAGATTATGCTTTAACCCATTCACATATAAAACATTTTTTATTTGTATGGAATAGATATTACCTATTGTACCTGTACCTTCAATGTGACCTTTTGAATTATCACCAAAAGTCACCTCTCCTCCATTTTTGTCTTTAAGCTCTATGAACCGGCTTTTGTCTCCGGTCATGTGTCTTGAGCATCCACTATCAAGGTACCATGAGTTTGAATTTGTTTCCCGTGCCTTGTAGCAATGCTCTTTTTCGGACAAACATAGATTAAAATTTGATTTTTGGTACCCAATTTCTTTTGGGTCCATATTCATTAGTCTCCAAAATCCTAGTCCCCTTGGGTATCCATTTGTGTAGGATATTCTTATCTTTAGTAGTAATGTGTTCTTTAGGAACCCCATCCATAGAGCCGTTAATGAGTAATTATCATTTAAAAATCTGGTTGGGAGCGTGAGGGTATCGGTACCCCATCCATAGGGTATCGGTACCTGTAGTGTAAAATTCAAATATTTCGACCGTTAATAGACTAGGGGTATCGGTACCTCTGGGGGGTATCGGTACCCGTAGAGCATTATGTTTTTCTCGGAGCCAAAACTTGCATTGGGGTATCGATACCCTATGAGGGGGTATCGGTACCCTCTGGGTAATCTGGTTTTTCTTGAAGCCCTTTTATAAAGAAAATATTTTTGGCTCGATTAAGGCTCGAAACAGTTTGTAAAATTTGTTTAAAAAAGATTAAAACATAATTTTACACTTAAGTAAGGATTGAAAATGATATTTGTAAATCTTGGAGTAATATGTTGATATTTGAATAATTTAATCGAATGTATTTTCAAAAGTGATTATAAAATCTTAAAAACCAATAACACTTAATTTGTTATATCGAAACATCAAAATATTTTCAACAATGCCTTTTAACCCTTTTAAAATCTTATATGTATAGTCTACTCTAGGAAAACTTTGAGGGTAAGTAATTTAAAATATGAATAATTTTATAAAAGTTTTATAACTAGTATGTCTTTTTCAAAAATGATGATGATGATAATAATAATAAGAAATATTTTATAATTTTAAAAATTATAAATTTCATATATTTAAAAAAAAAAAACTCTTAACTTATAAAATTAATTGTTTAAAAGTATAAAAAATATTAAAATAAAATTTTAATTACAATCGAGGGATCAAATGAATTATTATTTTTAGCAACAGTTAAAAACGTGTATTCATTTTTAATAAATTTAGAATTTAATATTTATTTTATATTTTTTAAAATTAATATTAGAAATAATATTTTAAATATATAAGTGATATTTTTTAGCTTTACATTTTTTATTGAATTTTGGTACAAGTTTAGAGAGTAACACAAAACAAAGAAAAATCTTTAGATTTTCATGTATGTATTTATACTTTTCTTTTATAAACATTTTACCATAAGTTTTCTTAATTAATTTGAATAATAGCATAATAAATGATTAATTTGAATTATAACTCATATATATACTCCATTAATTGGTTGATGATGATGATAATAACGAAAAATATTTTATTATAATTTATAATTTATTTTTAATATAATAATTGAAAATACATGAGTTATAATTATACTAAATATTTTAATATGTTTTATTTTCATTGTTGATATTTCAAAAAAAAAAATTTATTATTATATTTTTAATTCATTTTATTTTGAAAATTGTGTCATTATTTTAATAATTTATGATCATAGTACTTAATTTTATTATATAATAATTGGTTAGCTACTTCTTTAATATTTCGAAGTATTTTTACACAAATATCATCCTAACAGAAATTAATTACTTATAAGACATAATTTTTAAAAATAATACAGATCTAACACTCATTCTAGAAAGGCCGCCACATGACACCATGTCAGCATAATGGCCGTACCTTTCTACAAAAGATGTTAGATCAAAAAATATATATGAAATAATGTCTGACATGTAAAATATATAACGAAAAGGTGATTTTTGGGAAAAATTGCCCGAGACTTCACAATCATCATATATATTTTAAAAAACCCATGCGTAAAAGAAAAAGCGAAAAATAATTCCAAATGACCTAATTTCATGAAATATTGATTCAGTGTTTGGTTCTACTGAATTAGGTTCTACTAAATTAGGTTCTACTGAATTAGGAAACATCTCAATTCTCAAACACGATATCTCATATTTTGACTCATCTTTATTATTCCTCAACCTGATGCAGTCGCCAGCAAAATGATTTCCGGTCCAAAACCTTTTTAGGTAGAGGTGAGCATTCGATCAAGTCGAGTCAAGTTAAAATATTTTGAGTTATTTGAGTTGACGAGTCATATTTTATGACTCAAATTTAACTTGAAAATTTCCCAAGTTTAAAAATTTGAGTCGATTTGTTCAAGTTTTTATACAAATTTAATTATAAATATTTATAGTATTAGAATATTAATTTATTCTATATATATATATATATATATATATATTTCTTCATATTCTATTCACATTACAATGTAATTTAATATATCACATACAATATAAAATTATAAAATATATTTACAATATTATATTTCAAAGAAGGTATTTTAAGGATAAAAGATTAAAGAGAGTATGAAAGAGTCATAATTTGTGTGAAGAAAGAATTTGTAAACAATTGTAGTTAAAAGACTAAATTGAATTGAATACAAAATTAAAGGATTAATTTTAAAAAAAGATATTATATTTTAAATAAAAAAATAAGATTTGAAATTACATAGGTATTTTGTAGTGATAGGGAAGCATGTGATTTAAATTTAGTCAAAAACGTACTTAAAATGAAAGATGAATTGAAGAAATGTGAAAATCATACAAAATAAAGGGACTAAATTGAAAAATAGAAACTTTGTTATCAAAAAGTGGAATTGAAAGTACATATGTATTCTATGATGGTTTAGGCGAATGTGGTTCAAATTTGATAAAAACTTTACTTAAAATAAAGGAGGAATTGAAGGAATAACAAATTAGGGACCAAATCGTAAATTTGTCAAGATACTTAACAAAATTTTTAGTTTTTTGAGTTACTCAAAATTTTAAAATTTTAATTTGACTCAAACTCGAAATTCGAATTGATAATTCGAATTAATTTGAATAACTCAAAAAAAAAAAAAAAATTCGAGTTGAGATAAATTTTACTCATCCCTACATTTAAGGTCTAATATCCGTGGGGTTTGAGAACTTCTCAAAACACTAATTTTTTCAATAACAAGTCAGTTTCCAAATATTCAGTCCAGTATCCATACATTGTTTTGGATCAGCAACAACTGAAACCATATACGTTTGACTGGATGAGTTAACGTGGAGGCGTTTGATGATAAAAACAATTGATAACCAATCATCGTACCCATAATTAGGGATGAGTACAATTTGATTCTAAAAATCAATTTTTTTAATTTTAAATTGTTTGAGTCCACTTGAATTATTGATTCAATTTTTAAGTTTGATTCGAGTTAAAATTTGAAAAAAATCGAATTATTCGAAAAACCGAAAACTTGACTAAATATTTTGACAATTTTACAATTTAGTAATTTATTATTCCTTCAATTCCTCATTCATTTTAAGTTTATTTTTTTACTAAATTTGAACCACATGCTTATATAAACCATTGTAGAATATATATATTTTTAATTTCTCTTTTTAATAACATGTTTTTTATTTTTCAAAACTTGTCCCTCAATTTTTCACAATTTCCTTATTTTTTTCAATTCATCATTTATTTTAAATATTTTTTTACCAAATTTGAATTACATGCTCATATACTATTATAAAATACCTATTTAGCTTCAATTCTTTTTTTTACTAAAATTGTGCTCTCTTTTTTATTTAGTCCTTAACTTTATATTTTATTCAATTTAGTCTTTTGACTATAATTGTTTGCAAAAAATATTTTCTCACGACTTCCTTGACTCTTTTATTCTCTCATCAATATTTTACCCTCAAAATTCTTTATCTTAAATCAATTTTTACCCTCAAAATATTTTATTTTAAATATAATATTATGAAAATAATTTATGATTTTATGTTGTATTTGATATATTAAATAACATTATAGTGTGAAAATATACATATCTTATATGGTTACCAAAAGTCAAATTGAAATCAATCATTGTCATAATACTATAAATAATTATAATAAAATTAGTATAAAAACTCGAATAACGACTCAAATTTCTTAAACTCGACTCGAAAAAAAAATTCAAACTAAATTCGAATTGTAAAATACAACTCATCAACTCGAATAACTCAAAAAATTTTCACTTGACTCAATTGAATGCTCACCCCTTCTCATAACATGATATCACCCGAGTGTCAAGCAATTACCAAAACAACATAAGAATAATAATGATAATAATACCCGAGAGTAAAATCAACTCCACATAAATAAATATTGTACATTGTGCTTTAACCTCTTGTTCAGTTATAAAAATAGGATGAAAGTAAACTTACATACCCAATAACTCAAATCTACAATAATACTATCCGACCATTTACACCAACTCTTTGATGACTGAATCGATTCTCAATAACTGGTATACATACATTACTGGAAAAATAACATCAGATTATGTGAACAATTCATATGGGCATTGAAACATGAACTCAAGGAGATTTAGATGATGAAATTGACTGATGTAGGATTAATCTCACTCATTGCCTTGCATCAGAAGCCATCATATGGGCCTGTGATTACAAAAGTTGAATGCTATTAGAACTGGCCGAACCAGATTTAGTTCTTCTTAAAATTTAAACATGTTCGAGTACTAGCAGTAAATAAGCGTTCTAATGATAGAAGATGATACAATTTAGCTACAAAGAAACATCCCAAGTAAAATAGCTGGCTAAACTCTCTGAAGATACCTTGTGAGGCTTCATTCACAAACTTTACATATCACCAATTTCAAGCATGCGAGTCTAAAGCATATTTTGAGTCAGTATAACATTGTTTTTGACAAGTGTTATGGAAAAGTGCTTTTGAAAGATAAAATATCAATTTCAGACATGAAGTTATAAAATAAAATAAAAAATAATTAATAGAGAAATATGGTCAAATAGATAACTTAGCATAAAAGTGGTATCCAATAAGACAGAACTTAGAACTTTAAAGGTTTTGGATTGGTTTATAAACACAGTTTGAAATACATTTTTGGCTTGAAAAATCTGTTCACATTTCTTATGGCTAGAAAAGCTGTTTTGTCTTGAAAAACTTATCATTCAGCAATAAACTATTTTCTCTTAGTAGGTCTTAACTTTTGCGCTCTGAACATTCTGATTACATACAATATAATTTCTTCACCATCTACACATAAGATATAGTTTCATATAGGATGATCTTATAAAGTGCTTGTGTTGGTATGATTTTGATGTTTTACGACTAAGGAAGCAACTACTGCCAGATTATGCTGCCGATTAAAAGAACTGTCATCATTTCAGTCACTTCTACTTATGTCATAGGCAAATATATGATATCACTAACAGTGTTTAGAATAATGGTTCACTTAAATAGATAAAGGCATCTAGAATGATCCATCACATCATTGTTTGGATGTGTCAATGGATGAACTCATGCTATTCATTATCAAGATATGTGACAAGCATTTAGCAAATAAAAATGTCATTCAGTTGTGCCTTGAAAGGCTAAGTTATGGTTGTTGACAACTATAAGATGTCATATGAGATGCCAAAGCCAAACAAAAAGGGGTTTGATAAACATAATTAAAGCAACTTATGAAGAAAAGGAAAAATGTAAGGAGTCACTAGCGTGTTCATGCATTAATATGTTCCATGATAGAGAGAAAGAGAGTACTTCAGGTTGTGAATTCCCATAATAAACACCTTGTGAGAATGAACCTTGATGTGCGAGCTGCAAGAATTATTTACCAAAAGTTGAAAGATATCAAACTCAATGTTTGTCTAGTTTACCAAATGGATCAGAAAATCATATGGCATGATTTGTAAATGCATGAACTTTATTCAAGAACAAAAAGAAAAAAAGGTGCAATGAGGGAGAACCAAAACTAAACCGAATGTAGGAGTAAATAAAATTAATACTCCACCTGAGAATTTGAGCCTAATTGGACATCTTTCTTGGAAAATGTATCTCCACCTTTAGTTGAACCCTTCGTATCACCCTATCAACAACAACCATATCAGAGAGGTAGCTTGGAGGGGACAAATGTAAGGCAATAAAATGTTTTAACAAAGTAGCAGCTTGATTTGTACAAGAATATTAACTCACCTCCATCTGCAATGACCCAATTGACCATCCAAAGAAAAAAAAAGAACCAGTCAGTTCAGTTCTGTACAACTTGAAAAGTTAGCAATTAAAACAACTAATAGAAGTCTGATGGTACACAATTATTTAAAAATTAAAACCAGAGCCCCTTTGGTTTCAGGGCAATCACAAGAAAAGAAAAAGACCCGGAAATCTCACATATTTCACCATCCACGAGTCAAACTTCTTTCCCATTATATTCAGATGGACTATGGTCATATAAAGCAGAGCATTAGATGATGAAATGCGTTACCTATTAAACTATATACAAGGAAATCAATTAGTTAACTATATACTTGGATATCTCACATATTTCACCATTCATAAGCCAAATTTCTTTCCCATTATTTTCAGATGGACTATTATAATATCACCGGCATTTGATGAAATGCATTACCTATTAAACTATATACACGGAAATTGAATAGTTAAAGAGGCAAGTGACAAACCCATTTATGAAGTTATCCAAATATGTCCCCAACATATAGAATGTAATCAGTTTAATTCCCTCCATTAGGAAGAAAAACTATATGCAGTTTTTTAATTAACCACCTCTCTATATTTGGCAAGGTAAATCTTAAGTGGATCAATGTAATCTTCAAACCCTACTGTTGCCATAGCCCAGAGCAGATCATCCCCGTTAATTGTCTTCCTCTTTTCCTTATGGCACTTGTCGCTGGCTCTGAACAACAATTTATGACCAATCTTACAATTAACAATACATTTCATATGATGGAACTAATAAGCTCAGCTAAAAAAGTTAATAAAGCCCTAAAATAAACAAAAAGCAGAGAAAAAGTGAAGAATCGAACTCGCTAGTGATGAAGCTGATGAATTCCGAGACGCACTCCTGAACGGTCTCCTTAGCATCTTTAGCTATCTTGGCGTTAGCAGGAAGAGCTTTCTTCATGATACGGCTAATGTTAGCGATAGGAAGAAACCTCTCCTGTTCTTGCACGTTGTAGGATCTGGGGCTCTGCTCGCCCTCGCTGTCGTGACTTCCGCCGCCAGAACTCGCCGGAGCCGGTGTCGCCGCCATAGAAAGAAACAAATCCCCGAAAATCATAGCAAATAATCAAATCTCTAATTCCTAAACAAAAAACCTAAAAAGGGAAAAGATAGAGAAGTGGGGAAGAGGAAAATTAACCTCAAATAGCGAAGAATGAATGAAATGAATAAAAAGAGAAAGAAACAAGGAAAGGGCGGGAGTGAGAGATTGGATTTCAAGGAAAATCCGACGTTGGAGAAGAAATGATCAGCTGAGTCGATTCAGATCTGATCTGATGAGAGATCCAGGTATTATCAACACCGTTCGTTGGTATCCCCTTATTTCTTTATTTATTTCTTTATTTACTCTATTATTTTTAAAATGTTTTATTTGTAATTACAAATTGTTTCAATAATACCCTTTTGACCACGTATTAGGTCATTTTAATATGTGAAATGACTCAAACAAACGCCGTCCTTTGTATGTGTTTTTCTAATGAGAAAATCGCCTCAGTGACCAAAAATACCTTATAATATACGATTTTAATCAACTTTTTTTGGATTTGCCAAAATGACCAATAAAATCGCAACGCGATTTAGAAAATCGCAACGTTAAAAAGAAAATCGCAACGAAAATCGCAACGCGAGCTTCCAAGTTCGCAACGCGATTTAGAAGAAAATCGCAATGCGATTGATAGAATCGCAATGCGATTTATAGAATCGCAATGCGATTGAGAGAGTCGCAACGCGATTTAGAAGAAAATCGCAATGCGACTGAGAGAATCGCAATGCGACTGAGAGAATCGCAATGCGATTGAGAGAATCGCAACGTTAAAAAGAAAATCGCAACGGTCAAAAGAATAGTTAAAAAATTTTGTTTCTTAAGAATTTTCTCTAAAAAGATCCGCGCGGACGTGTCGAAGACACGTATTACCACGACCACGACCACGACCACGACCACGACCACGACCACGACCACGACCACGACCACGACCACGACCACGACCACGACCCGACCCGACCCGACCCGAGACGAGACGGCGGCGGCGGCGGCGCGCGAGAGTCCCCCTTGTCCTCTTTCACTCAACAAGGAAGTGCAAAATACAAGCCTTAAATATAATTCCCAATAGTGTTTCCAATACTATGTGGGATTGAGCATTACCAACACTTGTTCCCAATATCATTATTCTTCATAAGTTATCATCCATTACAATATGAATTATCGATAATAAATTAATTCATTTTAATAAGTATTTAAAATTATAACTTGATAAATACATGAAATAATTCTATTATTAAATAAAAAATATATTTTTTATATTAAAATTATTGAGATAGATATTTACTATAAAAGTAAAAGATTTTTTTTTCACGTACAACCTCTATGTGAATTAGTTTCACAATAAGGTATCGGTTATGCATTAGATTCTTTCGTATTAGATGGTCTTTAATAAGATCATCATCATCATTCTTTTGTTCAACAATACCATATATTAATGAGGTATATTGGTTCATTAACACGACTAATTCATATTGTAATGGATGATAACTTATGAAGAATAATGATATTTGGAACAAGTGTTGGTAATGCTCAATCCCACATAGTATTGGAAATACTATTGGGAATGGTATTTAAGGCTTGTATTTTGCACTTCCTTGTTGAGTGAAAGAGGACAAGGGGGACTCTCGCGCGCCGCCGCCGCCGCCGTCTCGTGGTCGTGGTCGTGGTCGTGGTCGTGGTCGTGGTCGTGGTAATACGTGTCTTCGACACATCCGCGCGGATACTATCTTTTTAGAGAAAATTCTTAAGAAACAAAATTTTTTTAACTATTCTTTTGACCGTTGCGATTTTCTAAATCGCGTTGCGATTCTCTCAATCGCATTGCGATTCTATAAATCGCGTTGCGATTCTCTCAATCGCATTGCGATTCTATAAATCGCATTGCGATTCTCTCAGTCGCATTGCGATTCTCTCAGTCGCATTGCGATTTTCTTCTAAATCGCGTTGCGACTCTCTCAATCGCATTGCGATTCTATAAATCGCATTGCGATTCTATAAATCGCATTGCGATTCTATCAATCGCATTGCGATTTTCTTCTAAATCGCGTTGCGAACTTGGAAGCTCGCGTTGCGATTTTCTTTTGACCGTTGCGATTTTCTTTTTAACGTTGCGATTTTCTAAATCGCGTTGCGATTTTGATATCGCGTTGCGATTTTATTGGTCATTTTGGCAAATCCAAAAAAAGTTGGTTAAAATCGTATATTATAAGGTATTTTTGGTCACTGAGGCGATTTTCTCTTTTCTAATTATCATATACATCAAAGGTTAGTTTTTTTAAATAATCCGAAATGACTACTATGTATTATATGTTCAAAAAAAATTTAATCTACTGACAACACATATAATATAAAAACAATTGCTAGAACTTAATTTATCCGGGGAAAACACTATTTTCTTTTACCACTAAAATCACTCTAATCATCTACAACAAAGTAGAGTTAAAATTATGATTCTTGAATAATTTATTTAATTAAACTCATCAAAGTATAAATCTTATCTCAATTTATTATAAACTTGTTATACCTCCAAAGTCAAAATTGTATACTTTTCAAACCAAACATCATCTTTTCGATCAATTAGAGTAGTCATTACCCATTGACAATAATATCGACATATCCAAGAAATCTGACAAGACTTAAATCTACTAATTGGCGATTATATTTATTCACTCTATCGAATTACGAATAGTAATCTTGACCTTAGGTCATAGGTCTGAAAGCAATACACCTAAAGAGTTAATATATAAGTCCCAATGAGAAAGGGAATCTTCCTCTAGAACCTATGAACTTTTTATCTTCCTCGATCAATCTCCCTTTATATCTTCATCGTCACAATCACCAGCCAATAGTTGTATAATTGTTTGCGCTGTGTAGATGCTATAAATTACGCAAAAATATGTGCAAGTATACAAAATCAGACAAGTAATATAGATGGAGTGAGTATCGTCTCCACAGGGATTGGAGGAATTCACAAGTTAAGTTGAAGCACTAAACTATATATCCTAATATATGACTATGTGATAGTATATACAATTGAGAATGTTGTGGCAAAATGAAATGTATAAAGATGGAATTGGAATGACAATGTAGAAAAGTAACAATTAGAAATGCTATGGTAAATTAAAATATAACAATTGAAGAATGATAAAGAAAATTAAATTAAGAATATGAAAATGAATAAGATAGTTGACAACCTCGCACAAACAAGCTACAATGAGGATAATTGGTAGGGTTACTAAGGAATCCTAAGCCTTGTCTTCTGGAATAGTTCAAGTCTTCTATGCCTACTTGTTCAATAGAGTTTGCTAAAAGTGTCCTTAGGTTATCTCTAGTAAAGAACCTGGCAGATAAAAATGCTATGGCAATACCTCTTAGTGTGAACTGAAACAATTTCCAATCAATTAAATACTACCCCTTTTAGTCGTTGAAATCATATCCTTATCTCTAAGGTGGATTAAGATCTAGTTAGCAGTTAAACCCCATTGCTCACGTTGATCTCACATAGCTCTCTCGATAACTAGGAATCAAACTTAAGAAAAGGCCACTGTCGCAAGCTCTTACAACCTAAGTAAATAATTACAATGATCAAAGAAAATATTAACATAAAAATATGAACCATTCATTAAACAAAAACTTAATCATCCATAGTTAACCCACACCAAATAAGGTTAAATCATGGGGGGTACTGATAACTCCGTAAAAAGACTCAATTTCTAGTCTTTTCACTTAAGTTATTGCTCGTCTAAACAAAGTATGCACAATATTTTAGTTGCATTTAGGTTATATTTGCTTGTGGTGGATAAGTTTTGCTTCGGCAAGATTTATTTGGTTTAACTGATGTTGTTGAGGAGAAAGGGTTTGTGTGGATTGTGCATGTATAGGAAACTTACAGAGGAAGAACATTTCAGTCGTGACAACGTAATTTGCAAAGGCCAATGGAAGAGAGAAGATCGTGAGGAGCATATTTATCTCGCCGAGGCAAGGTTTATCTGAAGAGTCTGAAGCGGGTATGATGAAACTGCCTATGTCACACGCCAGGTAGATGACCCCCTTCACGTGCAAGCAAGCCTTAAATATTCTGACAGCCGCCAACCGCCTTTCCATTTTAAGTCTGGACAAGATAACAACGGCTATTTAAGGAATCTCCAATCATGCGAAACCCTAGGAGATTCTTCCCTATAAATAACCAGTCATAGCCGCCAAAGAGAGAAAGAAAGGAAGAAGAGAGAAGAGCTTTACTTAAGGCGTGAGCAAGCAACTGCAATGCTTTCCCACCGTTTACCAACCAACATTCCTTGGTGTCCTCCATAGCCAGACTGTAGTAGAGCGGTGATAAGGTCTCGAGAGAGGCTGGTCACCAAGGCAGGCGCGGTGCTGATCAGAATTGTCACGACAGAGCCCCCGATTTTAGGAGTCATTCTTCATTTGTTCTTAATTTCTTTACATATTTGGGGTTGTATTAAACGATGATACTTGGATGACTTTTTGATAGCCTCATGACTGTCTTACTTGGTGTTAATCTTTGTTTTGCCTAGACAATTATTTTTTATTTTATGAATGATGAATTATGATTTTGCTCATGACTGTTTTGTTCATTGTTTAAATATTTTACCTTAACACTGTAAGAGCATCGAGAGATTGCTTAGGGTTTTGGTAAAACATGTCTTGGCAATGTAAGAGCATCGATAGATCGCCTTTTGTCTAGATAATGATCCTTAGATTCGAGAGAATTAAGATAGATCTACGTGAACAAGGGAATAGATTCGGGATGGTGATGTTCTAACTTGTCTACCTTAGAGATAAGGAGCGGGTTTCAATCGACTAAAAGGGATAGACACTAGAGTAGGATAGACAACGCCCATAGTTCACACTGAGAGGTATTGCTACAACAACAGTCTGACAAACCAAGGGTTGTAGTTAACGCTGAGTAGTATTGCCATAGCAACCGTCTAGGAATACTTAGTAATCCTGTCGGACAACTTAAGAAAGTCATAATAATTCATTCTAGACTTAGAGTAATTGTTGTCAATGCAAACTGTGATAAGTCTGAATATGTGAGGTTGTTTGAATTATATTTAAATCAACACTTGTCTTTATTTTATTAGTCTGCGTATTTATTTTGTCTCGGCCAAAATTTTCTGAACTCATACATTATAACACTTTATTGTTTTATTATTGCTAGTTTTTAGTTTGACA